TCTTGGCATGGGCAGAGGTGTGGGGTAGAAGACCTTCAAGAGTCCTTCCAGCACTATGATTCTAACTGTCACTAATACATTAACTGTCAAACTAAGATTCATTTCTTTCAGAAAGTGTCACAACTGGCATAGCACTTTCAGCTCATATAAATCATCCCTGGGCCTAGAAGCCACCTTAAGTTCCCCACTTAGCTATAATTCCCAAAGTGCTCATTTCGACCTGTCTGGAAAAGCAGCATCTAACACTAAACATAATGATCTAGCCAGACTGGACAGCAAGCTACTTTTCATCCCCAGCAACCTCTAATCTTGCCTTGTCCAGATTAAGTTTCCTCTTCTGAACTCTCACCCATCCCAAAGGGTCTCCAGACATCTGTTCAAACAGCCTAGTGTCTCTCTAGAGGAAAATAATAAGTGGATCTTATAAACCTCAGCTCAAATACTGAATGACTCCTTGGTGGACTCCTCTGTGAAATGTTGACTTCCACCCCCTCCTCTTCAGTTCTGCAGTTAATACAAATAAGGTCAGCAAGCTCTTTTAGAATTTGACAGGAGATAAAGGATCCTTTTTGTTCTCTGACTTAACATTCACCAGAAGCTCCAAAGACTGTAGGCAAGTACCCAGAATTACTGAGGTTGGGAGACAAACCAGAAGGGAAAACATTATTCAGTTAAATTTTTCACTGTCATAGCATCCTCCGAAAATAATGCTCCGTTTTCTCATCTTTAAAACTTGTAATGCTCAAAATTGGATTTTCTGGATGAACCTAGATTTTCTGGACAGTGAACGGGCAGAAGTCAATATTAGATCCTGTTACATTAAACCCTAATTTACTAGACAGAGCGTTATCACGTGGAAAGATTCTACCAGTTCTTAACTTCCTACCCTCTTCATTCTAAGAAGAATTAGAAAGATAAATATTTCCCAACCACTAGCAATGCTGATTGTGGCTAATAGGCACTGGAGTCCATCAGCTGGAGACTCAAGGCTTCTCAGCCTAAAGCATCTTGATGCTCTTCTGTATGCATGGATTTGGTCTGGTCTGAGCTCACTACCTCTCCTCCATGCTGCTGTGGGGTTTGCATAAGGCATTACAAGTCAAACTAGCAGTTGACTAACTAAAAGTTTGGCTTCAAGTTACAGAGAGGCCAGCTCTTTCCATGATGGAAATTTCCCCCCTCCTACTACTCAAGGGCCAGCTTGCTAACTGGGAATTCTAAGAGTCGAAGTCCACACATTTTAAAGTGATCAAGGTTGAGAAACATTGCACTAAGTATGCAATTAAGTTATCCATTAAAATTTGTAGTTCTGCTTTGAATCCCTCAAATTTCTCAACTAAATTCTTCTCTCTCCGAGCCAACAAATATAAAGTTCAGTTGTATGTTTTATTTATTTTCACCTTCCTATTATTACTTACAACAGAAATATTTTGAATGCTTCAGAATGGAGCTTTTCTTCAGAGAGAACTAAGGGCAGCTATCATTTCATACAAGGCCTTGGCTAAATGTTGAATGTCAAGGATGTAATGCTTTCTTCCCATTTCGTCCTGGAATTTGGCTCAACTTTTTCAATAAATCAAGCTTAACATTGATTTCAGTCACCACCATATCAAGGCCTTCCCTGCTGTTGCCATTTATTTTTTAGAAGGCTTAACAGCTGCAAAATATATCAATAATGGTGACAAAGTACATATGAATACAATTCTGATGAGTGAGATTTTTTAAAAAAGGAGGATACTTAAGTATTTTGCACAGGCAACTGCTGATATATTAATATACAATTTCATTAGAATTTCACTATATGTTACCTAAAAACTAGAGTCGGTGTTTAAAAAAACCACAATAAAATATTAAAGATAAATATTGTCCAATTCCTGTGTTTTCTTCTTTACTTTTATAAAAATGAAAGGATTCAGACAACCCTTTTCTAAATGCATCTTTGTGACATCTTGTTCTGGGCAGGAATTCTTGTATATATTCTGTAGTATTATACCACATATAATAAGATCACTAAAGTGGTTCCCAGGAGGATTAATGTGATATGTAGAGAGTAAGAAATATGATTTTGACAGAGATATGCAATTCTGTTACCAAAGCAGCAGTGAAACATACCTTAAGTCCATAACAAACCATAAATATTTGGAAGTGGCTGAAACAGACACTTCACTAATTCATAGGAGTACAATGGGGAGGGGGGGGGAGGTACAACACCATGTGACTTCTAAGATTCTGTAATTATAGCCAAACTCAAGAAAAGTAGTTTTAGCCCTCCTGGCCTGATCTACATGGTGGGGCTAATAGGATACTTCCACCTAGTCTTAATTACAACAAATATATGGAAGCTGGCCTGCTCTAATCAATGGTCTGTAACAGGGGTATCAAACTCACATCATCATGGCAGTGTCACATGACTTACCGGGACTTTCCCCTCCTTCACTAAACCAGGTGAGGGTGTGACCAGCACGTGAAGCATCCCGCCTGCGGGCCGGGAGTTTGACAGCCCTGGTCTATAATATCTTTATTTTTGAAGGAAGTCACTGGATCCCACACAACTCCATATGAGTATTACATAAATAGTAATGATAGGTTAAAGATTTTTTTCTGAAAATGTTCCCCTTTAACCAGGAAAAAAGTCTAGAGTAAAATAAAATATGAAATGATCTGCGTGGAGTAGAGGAAATATCATTCCAGGCTCTTTTCTAGTAAACAGGCATTTTATGTGGTGGTGGTGGGGTCCTCCAGATTTGGCCAAACTGGTAATGGCGGCAGCAGGAGGCTCCACCCACCCACCTGGATGCTTCTGTGTGGCGCGCAGGAGCGCACCTGAACAGGTAGTGAAAAAATTGGCAACCCACCACTGCTGGCTATATCCATATTATAGCCATGTTATGAATATGTATATCCTACACTGGTAGTCAAGCTATGAAATCACACATGGCATGATCTCAAAATTTTATTATGTACTCAGCAGTTAAAATCAGTGTGGGAATATTTCATGTATGCTTCCTTGTCATTGCCTCTAAACTATCTAATGTATTGTAGATCTCTTCCCCATTTTTGAGCCCATATCATCCCCTTTTCCCTCTTCTCAGTGTTTATAAAATGCAACACTCTTCACCAGAAATGCTCTCTGCTTCTATAGGTAGAGAGACATGCAAGGCACACCAGAATCTTAAGTGTTTAATTCATAGCAGGTCTATTCTGCTAAAAAAAACCCATAATGTTTTTAAAAACCCTGAAAGATAATACATATTTGTGACAAAGATGGTAGGGAACAATAACAATAAAATCTAGGAAAGCTGCATCCTAAATTGGAGAACAGAGTTAGTCAAGTGTTTTAAAATCTCTCTAGGTTTCTCTCCTTACATTATAGAGAATCACTTCTTTCAGTGATTTGCATGTACAAACTGTACAGTATATGGAACACTTAGCTAATAAACTATGATTAAGTGAAAACTTAGCATCAGATTGCTTAGAGGTTTCTCAAATTGCTGTCATCTATCACATTTCTTTTCAGGTAAATTATTAAATACCAAATGACCAGGTTTTCCTGCTTTCTGGGTGTCCACACATTTTTTTTAACAATGGCCACTACAGACTTTTCTATTCGTGCCTCTAAAGCAGGGCTCCCCAAACTTGGCAACTTTAAGACTTGTGGACTTCAACTCCCAGGATTCTGGGAGGAGAATCCTGGGAGTTGAAGTCCACAAGTCTTAAAGTTGCCAAGTTTGAAGACCTCTGCTCTAAAGCCTACCAACTTATTTCCACTTTGCCAGGTCAGTGTCAAAGGGACTGAACTATGGAGCAGGTTCATAACTAAGTTTGGCTTCTGCCAATATTAGCAACCCTATTTACTTAATTAAACATCCAAGAGTAAAAGATGCATTACTAAAGTAATGCAAATTCACCCTACAAAATATAGCGTTGAGAAAAGGCAATAAAATACTGGTTCCACAGAAAAACCTCTGTGTTTCTACCCACTTTGCACAAGCCAAGAAGGGGTAGGGGAGAAAGAATCAGAAAAGAGAATACAGAAAGAGGCATATCCCAGGTTCTGATCCCTGTGTTAATATCTAAATACACAGCTACTACGCAACACACTCTAGGAACCCTCAGTATACAATTTCATACAGCAGGAATGAATTCACATCTTGTCGGGGAGAAAGAGCAAGGGTCATGTTACTATAAATGAGTAAGACACTCTTTTCCAAGAAACGGGAGACGTGTTTAGCCAGCAGCTTTCTCTCAACGAGACACCCTCCAGATGGCAAGACTGCAATTCTACCCATATGGAGAGTATCAGGTTGGGGCTGCTCTGCTGCCACCCAAAAGCTTCTATTTCTCTAACAACAGTCAAATCTAGAATAGCACCAGAAAGTGAGGAAAATGGAAACCTGGTCTCCAATTAATCTCTAGAATGCATTCACAATCGGGTACCGCCACAAGCCAATTAAGCTACAGCGTACATCTGACGTCCATGCCCCCAAAACACAGGCAGTTCCTAAACTATCTTCTATTTACAAAAAGTGTATCTTGGGGATCCAGCTAGCCAGTCTGGAGTGGGAGTTGCACAATATGTGCATTTTCATCCTAGACAGTCCATCGTTTGAAAAGAAAACACTAGGATCACACTGATGATTTTAGAGCATATGCAACAATTCGGTACGCTTTCCCCACTCCCCAAGTTATTAAAAATATTAAAATTCTCAGAAAATACAAATTAAGAAATTCTTCCATAGGAGTCAGTATTATTATTATTATTATTTTGCTTCTAGCCCCTGTCTATCTCCTGAGATCTCCTGCTAACTTGGTTCCTTCAAAAGCAGAGAGGAGACATATAGTTTACTATGGGGCTTTTTGAAGTCAAAAGCATTCTACTTCTGCGTGGGCTGAGAAACAGCAAGGGCTTTTTACTGTTACTTTGCAAAATGTAACTTCCCTTGCCACTATGTAGAACAATGAATAACTGGTGGAAGATCTTTTTAAATTTTGTTTGTTTGGTTGGTTGTATTTAGTTCCTGATATAATGCAAAGAAATTGCTATCCTCTAATAGACAGGATATCACCTCCGAGTAAATCAATACCTTTGAAAATATGCACTTTGTACCCTCTGCATCCCCTCCCACACTGCACATCTTATAGGTAGTATTGGTTCAAATGCTTTCCACCAAGTGGTCCACAAATGAGAAGATTTTTATACTCTGATTTGGTAACCATTAAGATCGGGCATGGCTTTGGGTTCTGTAGGTTTCTTGTCTCCAGATGGTCTGCAGAATGGAGAAAAGAAAAGAAAAAAGCGAATGAGCAAATGAAAAGAGTCTGCACCTTCTAACAAGAAAAAAGTCTTTAGCTATTTTAGAATCTTAAATTGTTATCATTATCTGTAGAGCTTAGCTAGGTAATCATCCCACATGTTCTTCAAAGACACTTTCTGGACATAATTAAAGCAGAGTTCTCAAAGCCTTGACTTGGCAAAAGCACCAGGCTAAGTTTTAATCAACATCAGTATCTGCTCTCCTTCTGTGAGTCATACAATAAAAGTCAGGAAGAGATTTGTCATCCTTTTGTTGCTAGAATGGGGGCATGAGACAGAGACTGGAAGCAGTGCCTGTTTCCTTCTATTAATGAGCTTTCGTTATGACAATGAGCTTACAATACAAGAATGCAATGGGTGAAGGCAGTTTCTTGCAGATGGCATCTGCTATTTTTCTCTGATGAGTATTCACAGAAGGGAGGAGTTTGTGCAATGCTTTCCAAGGATATCCATATTCATATCTATTCTAACTCAGATTTCTAGCAAACACCCTTGTTGGGATTAACACCACTCAGCAAAGAACATAATTGCATGTAAGGTGAAGGTGAAAGTTTCCTTGTCCAGTCATTTCCGACTCTAGGGGCTGGTGCTCATCTCCATTTCTTAGCCTAGGACGCCAGTGTTGTCCGAAGACATTTCAGTAGTCATGTGGCCAGCATGACTATACACCGAAGATGTTACCTTCCCACTAAAATGGTACCTATTAATCTATTCACATTTGCATGCTTTCTGTTAGGTGGGCAGGAGCTGAGGCAAGTAATGGCAGCTCACTCCATCATGCAGCACTCAGGCCTCAAACCCAGACAGTCAACTTTCCAACTGACAAGCTCAGCATCTTTAACCGCTGAGCCATTGTGTTCCTAGAATGGCATGTAAATACGCAACATATTGCTCTGTTGGAAAGAAGTTATAATTCAGTTAATGATCATTCTCTAAAATCCATGAAACTGATCATTCAATCAATCATTTAATTTCAAAATGTCACTGGGAGCAATAACCGAACAGGTTGCTTAAAAGCAGAGAGAAAGCCAGTGTGAAGCGTATATACGGAGACAAGAAGAATTGTGTAAAATATGTCTCTACTCATGTAGGAGAAAAACCTTGTGTACACTTAAATTATAGCAAAACCAAGGAAACCAAAAACTACATAAAGGTAAAGCAAAGTATTGCAGGCTTACCGCCTTTCCGTCCGGCTATTGCGACGATGTGGACTGGATTGGCTACGTTGTGGGGACGATACATCCTTTTTCCTATCCTTGGTGGGTGATGGTGGTCCAGTAGCTTTGCTGATCTATGGAAAGAAAAACTTCATACCCTTAGGCTTTTCTCTTGGTGCCAAAAATAGGAAGGAGCTTGCCGTATTTTTAGCATCATTTAGGTCTTTTGAATGTTCAAAACACTGCAAAAACATTTGTGTATAAAATCCCATCTAAATATATCTACAGAAAGAGCAAGTTGCTGCTAATTATCATGCTAATAGGAAGAGAAAATTTGCCAATGGAACACTTCCAAGACTTAAGAAACATCTAAGAACAATTATTCCTTCCTTCCAGTAGTAAAAAAATGACATTGTCTATAACAGGTTTCATCTTCAAGCATGCAAATAAGAACAACTCAATCAAGTGATGTTTAACTAAGGTAGGGGTGAGCAATCTGAACTATACATGAATCCCCCCCCTATTTTGTAGATCCCAGAGCCTCTTCAACTCTGATTTCCAAGAATGGATGAAACAGATTGGCCCAAGCACCTTTCTTTCTATTCTCTCCTCTGAAACAGGTCCGCTCCATTTCAGGATGGGAATCAGACAAAAATTACAGCATAAGCCCAACACAGGCTTAACTGTTATAAAATAAATAACATCTTCCAAAACTTGTGTATGACATTGTCCTTCCTGTTCTAAATCATCAACCCAATCAGTGTGGTTCCAAAATCATCCGCACACACTCATTTGGTCCAGAATGCAGCCGTGTGAGCGATACTGGGTGTACCGAGGTATACCCATGTGACACCTATCCTCCGTGAGCTGTACTGGCTCCCTATTGGTCTCCGAACGCGCTTCAAGGTGGTTATCACCTTTAAAGCCCTACATGGCCTAGGACCTGGATATCTCCGTGACCGCCTCCTGCCACATACCTCCCAGCGTCCGATAAGATCTCACAGGATGGGCCTTCTCCGGGTGCCGTCGACTACACAATGTCGACTGGTGGCTCCTCAGGGGAGAGCCTTCTCTGTAGCTGCCCCAGCCCTATGGAACGATCTACCCCCTGAGATCTGGACCCTCCCCACTTTCTCGGCCTTCCGAAAGTCTATTAAGACCTGGCTGTTCCGGCAGTCCTGGGGCTGCTGATCCTTGATTGAGTTCCAGCCCCACTAAGAATTGAGTGCATGTTGTGTTCTTTTAACTTGTTTTGTTCTTTGTATTTTAAATTTTTTAGTATTTTAAAATTGTTTTTATGTAAGCCGCCCAGAGTCCTTCAGGATTGGGCGGCATACAAATTCATTAAATCTCAATCTCAATCTCACTTAAGGACACTCACCTATACTTTATAAAGGTAGACTAAACAACCAGCTCTTCTTTTTCCCCTTCCCCTCACCTTTAGCCTCATGTCACGGGAATGCCTCTCAAGCTCCTTGCGGAAGTCCTCGCGGCTCAGCTTCTCCACATCCAAGACGGAATGCTTCCATTCAATCTGCTCCACACTGTGTGGGTCATGGGACACACAATGGCCAAGCTTCACCTTTTTGAGGGTGTGCCAGCAGCACCGATAGGCCTCTTCATAGTCAAAAATAAGCTCACTCAGTGTGCGGAAGGTGGGAGCTTTGTACATGAGATCCTCGCGTCGACTTATGCCAAGCGCCCCATAGCGGCCCCCAATGTTCACTCCCAGCACAATATGGTGGAAGTAGTTCCCTGAGAAGTAAGTTTTGAAACTGATGGGGAAGCGGTCCAGTGTTGGCATGTGGTTGGTGAGGTAACTATTGATGATGAAATATTCAGGAAATAGGTGGTATAACAAAGTAAAGTAATGAACCATCCCTCAATTTTTTTTACATATTTTACAAACTTTCTTGCCACAGTTGTTAAGTGAATCACTGCAGTTGATAAGTTAGTAACCCAGCTATTAAGTGAATCTGTCTTTCCCCATTGACTTGGCTTGTCAGAAGGTCGCAAAAGGGGATCACATGACATTGAGACACAGCAACGGTCATAAATATAAACCAGCTGCCATGTATCTGAATTTTGATCACATGATCATGGGGACGCTGCAATGGTCGTAACTGTGAAAAATGGACATAAGTCACATTTTTCAGTGTCGTTGTAACTTTGAATGGTCACTAAACAAACTATTGTAACTTGAGGACTACCTATATAGCATAGGTTTGGGGAGGTACTTCTAAAACATCTGGAGGACTATGTTTTTCTATGTGACAAAATACCAAGCCTATTTTCTCGATCTGTAGATAAATCTCAATTGAGTAACCTCCAGAAGCATCCATGTGTTTGGATCTGGCTTTGGTGCATCAGATTTCTTTATGTTAGTCTTCAAGTCTATGAGCTTGGGCAGATCATCTAGCATCATAAATTCAAAAGTTTATAAGGTCCCAAAGCACCCCCTGACACTAATTCTATTACTAATTCAAACATGCCGTGCAGTGAAAATCCCATTCCTATTGCTCAAATGGTGTTACAACAAAAGCAAGGGAAAACCTATAATTAAAAGACATACTGGTACATAAGGCACAATTCCCTCAAAAGGCGATGCGATTCCTAGATTATTAGTACAATAAAAAGGAATCTGCCAGTAAACTAAAAATATTCCTAGTTAGAAAATGAGGGCGTCCCTTGTTTTTGCTATTATGCTTCTTGTCTAAAGCAACAAAAAAAATTAAATACATAGTTTGCATATCAGAGCATAAGTATAGTAGGATTCAGGTGTTATCTTCAAGTGAAACTGTATATATCCATTTAATCTTCTAAAATAAAAGGATACATTCCTAGGATCACAGCCTCCAAACACTTGATTGGCAGGGCTTCCTTTGTCATTTCTTTGGCCAGATCCATCAACCTGTGAGACAACACAAAGGAACAAGCAAGAATATTAATATTTTGAAGGTTTTGTCAGATAATATATAGGTGGAGAACAGCCTGAAGAAAATGGGAAATAACTGCTTGGTCATTAAAGAACAGAAAAGAAATCATGATGGGTAGTTCCTCTTCACTTCATAACTTTTTTTTTTTACTACCAATATAGAATTCAACATTCAGTAAATTTTTGTCTTCTAAACCAGATTAAAGCTTTGGTGTATATTTAGAATAATTTTAGTATAACCCTATAGTTTTGTATGTTTAATCTCTATCATTAAATGTCTCAGGTTAAGAGGCCCAAGTGTGGCATTCAGTGGAGGCTTAAACTACATGAATGCCATTGCAATCAAAAATAATAAGCACCTCCACCCATATTTATTACATCAGCTAGGCACAATTATGGCTACGCTGCAAGAGGTCAGAAATCCTGAACTGTACTGAAGGAGATGGAAGGCCTGGGAATCAAGCAAAAATTGCTTCCTTAGCAGATTATATAACATTTTTGCTGGGGCTGTTTCATGGATCTGCAACTAGAGAATACTGTATTCGTTTAGGATAAGGGTAATGGTGGCTCAGTGGCTAAGACGCTGAGCTTGTCAATCGGAAGGTCAGCAGTTTGAATCCCTAGAGCCACATAACTGAGTGAGCTCCTGTTACTTGTCCCAGTTTCTGCCAACCTAGCAGTTGAAAAGCATGGTAAAAATGCAAGTAGAAAAATAGGAACCACCTTTGGTGGGAAGGTAACAGCGTTCTGTGTGCCTTCAGCATTTAGTCATGCCAGCCACATGACCACGGAGACGTCTTCGGACAGCACTGGCTCTTCGGCTTTGAAACAGAGATGAACACCGTCTCCTAGAGTTGGGAACGACTTGCACATATGTGCAAGGGGAACCTTTACCTTTTTAGGGATAGGGGTAAGAAAAAGAACTATTTTTAAAATAAGGCTGGAAAGATGATACTTACCCAGTCAAAGGTCTGCTTTTCTTGATTTCAAAGAACTGTGTCCCAGTGTGATTGTATCTGGGAATAAGAAGTTAAGGTATGCTTGGCTTGGAAGAGCTGCTGAGAAGGGGGGTAGAGGAAGCATAAGCAAATTGTTAAAAATATTAATAGATGTTAGTGTGTTTGTATGTGGGTGTGTTGTTTAGAGAGCCTACAGTGTGTGCAGTAAAAAAAGTTTACTTTTCTTTCACCACTAATGACCCCCACAAAATCCACTCCAGCTTTCCCCTCCCCCCAAAAATACAGCTAGTAGTCCTAGTGATTCTAGCAGCAGCAATGTGCACTCAAAGCACTCCCCATTTGCTCTACAGTCCCAGGTTTTCCTCCATGGACTTGGAAAGGAATCAAGTAGAATGCCTTTTGTATGCTGTATTTCTGGTGCAGCAAAGCAAACTTTGAAACAGGTTAACTCTGGCTTCCTTACAACAATGGTGACCGAATGCCTGGGGAATAAGCTAAAGGAAATGAATAAGGCAGTAAAGCCACTGGCTCCTAAAAGAGAGAGAGGAGAGAGAGAAGGTTCTTTTTTCAGTAGAGCTGAGATGTTAATGAGTTATTTCCTTTTGTGATCAAGCAAGGAAGTTGCCTTGCTTCTCTTTTCATTTCTTGGGGATTCAGATATAGCTGAAAGGATACTGAAGTTCCCTGATGTAGCGCTGTATAGCTTCCAGGCGCTCAGGGATGAGAGTGGTTGACTGTAGAGTAGGCACACTTGGTATGGAGATCTGTGAAGGAGGAAATGAAATTCAAGATCACCAAGTCAAAGATGAAATTCCATTTATATTCTAGTTGAAAGGAAGGAAACCTGTGATACTCCAGAGGCAAATCAACTGCAACTCCCACCATCTTTCATCATAATTGCACCATCTGGAGCTACTGGAAGATGTCATTCATTAATATTAAGATTACCACAAGGCTGCCTGCCTCAGTCTATTATAGGTAGTCCTCCCTTTATTGACTGCCTCGTGCAGCAACTGTTGGAAATTACAATGGTGTAGAAAATTAACTTTGTGTTATGATCATCACAATGTCCCATGGTCATTGGGATCACCATTCCTGTGTTTCACAACTGGTGCACATTTGTGGCCACTGCAACATCCCTCAGTTAAGCTGCACACTCAGCTTGTGACAAGCAGAGTTAATAGAGAATGCAGAAGTAAAACCATAAGCTGTGGTCATGTGATATTTTTCACTTAGTGACCACAGCATCTTGCTTAATGACTGACAGGAAAGCAAAGCCTTTTGCTGCCACATGATTTTCTGCTTAGCAACCAAATTGCCAATTCCAATTGCGGTCGCTGAGCACGGATTACTTGTAGTGTAGTAGGTTAATGTTAATAACCGACTAATATCTAATGATAATAACCAGTTAGTAAGCAAAAAAGTCTAATGATGATTTTGTCTATGTACTCTTTTGTCTAAGCCAGAACAATGCATTGTAGAAGTGCTATATTACAATTTCATTAATTCTAAGAGGCTTTGGAATTGTGGGAGTTGTAGTAAAACTCATCAGGGGTAGATAAGCTAAGGATGACTGTGATATTTAACAATACACAAGCAGAAGAGTGAGAATTTGGCATGGCTCATCTTTTCTGACAAACATTTCATGTAATGTGTATATTGTGAGAAAACAAGGTGTAAAGCTTTGGTGTAAAGCTTTGAAATATCTGAACATGAGATAGTGGCATTGAGACATGAATTTATTCTTCAGAACAAAGTACATTAGGCAATTTCTGATGAATGGGAAAATATTCTTCAATTCTAGTAAGAAACAATGAAGAGTCTTTCCCAACAGGGCCGGTCCCAGATATTTGATTTCTTAAGTTGTCTTCTTCCAATATCCCTTAGCCAAGTTATTACAGCATTTGAAGCAGAAAACCCCTTGGCATCTCCATCTTCTAAGCAGGAAAAATGTATGAGAGTCAATTGGTGAGACATCAGCTGCTGCTGTCTCTTTTATATCACCCTAGATTGGCTGCCACTCAACTCTGTCTAAAGGTAGAACTAGTCATAATTCCTAGGTAGCAAAGTTACAACCTTCTTTGCAGAAGGTATTTAGAGAAGCAGATCTTGGTTGTATTAGACTAGCCACACTCTTTTTACTGCTCCTTTTTTAAATGGAAGAGAAATTGTCACTGCTTCTCCCCATCTTCTTTAGTGTAGTAGGACATACGTAATCCTACATAATATAATGGAAACCACTTAAAATATGCAGGTCCTATGGCTATAATTAGTCTCATTTAAACAACTAAGAGTGAAGAATTCACTATACTACACACAGACCTGAGCCTTGAACCCAGACTAAAATTTCCATGGTATCAAGAATTTCAGTTCTGTCCCTTAAGAGACAGAAAGGGAAGAGTGAAAGACCTGTTCCTCTTACCTCCAAGCTAATTGAGATGCTACAATGACACTTTCTGGTGATACATATTTCCCTGCTACAATTTCTTCCCTCAAAATATATTAATATACAGATAGTAATTCTTAAATGGAAGCTTTTTGGGGAAAAGCTATTATTTTGTTTTAAAGTCAGTGTGAACTACTAGAACACATTGATTATAGCAACACAGCATTGTTAACAACGATGTTAAAGATGTTCTGCACCCCACCAATTGCTGAACTTCCTACCTATGCTCTTTCCACATTGCCCTGAAAGCAACTTTCAAAATTATGAGATGATACAGACAGATTAGGGATGCGGTGGCTCAGTGGCTAAGATACCGAGTGTGTCGATCAGAAGGTCGGCAGTTCAGCAGTTTGAATCCCTAGCACCATGTAACGGAGTGAGCTCCCGTTACTTATCTCATCTTCTGCCAACCTAGCAATTCGAAAGCACATAAAAAATGCAAGTAGAAAAATAGGGACCACTTTGGTGGGAAGGTAACAGTGTTCTGTGAGCTTTCGGCATTTAGTCATGCCGGCCACATGGCCACGGAGATGTCTTTGGACAGCGCTAGCTCTTTGGCTTAGAAACGGAGATGAGCATTGCCCCTAGAGCCGGAAATGACTAGTACGCATGTATGGGGGAATCTTTACCTTTTACAGACAGATTGCCTTACCACAGCCTAGTCTACACATTTGTAGATTCCAAGCCTAATCAGTTGATATTTAAAGAAAGGAATGCAAATTTTTGAAGGATAAAGTGGTTGCAATAGTCTTTTCAGTTATTATATTTGAATGACATTAAGTGTACATAAAGCCCATTTAGGAAAATGTAATTCTATTGTATTAGTCTTCCTCAAAAAGTGATCTGGGATGTGTGTGTGTGTTTTGCTCATGCTTAAACACATAAAGATGTTCTTGAGAAAAGCCTAACTCCTAGAGATTGCATCTATGAGATTCTCTTGGTGACATTAGAGAAAACATTTATTTAATGCAACTGGAGTCTTCTGTCCATAAAACTGGAAGCCCTGTTAAATCAGCCTCCCTGATAACAAAAGAGAATGCTATTCAAATGCCAATGAATCTGAATCCATCCAATGTCCATCCAGATCTTGGCATACAATCTGGAAAGTGTGGGAGCAAGGAATGTATGACTGGGATAATAGGGCAGAACCAGCATATTTGGAAAGTTGAGACCATGTAATGAATAGAAATGTGACCAATTGTTAAACTGTTTTGCATAAGAAGCAAAGCTGGTGAGGTTGTTTTCTGCCACCTGCTGTAGTTCTCCCATCTATTACTCCACTGTTCTTTATCTTTTTTTATGGGGAGAGGATCAGAAAGGCATATTTTCAGACAAAGTATCAGTAAGCATTTTAAAAATAATGCCTGTTCTTAGCTATGTGACACATGGAAGCATCGTTATAAGGAAAATGATATTTCCATTTTCTGCATGGGCGTATCAGAAAGCAGCTATCATAGACAACAGCAAGATTTACAACAGTTACGTACTTGGAAATGTCCAACAAAAAGACAAAGTTTCCCTGAAATAATTACAATTTAGAATATTTTTGCCGGGAAGATGGAAGTAGTAAACTGAAATTCTGTACAGCAATCAAGATACCCCAGAAGACATTCCCTATTTATAAGAACTTTTAGTTCCAGAAAATGAAGTTAGATCGGTGCACTAATCATTCCAACTGGAAAGCTATTGGAATATTCTTAATTTCACATGCTAGAAAAATAATGCTGTGGATCATCCAAAACAGATTAAATACTTATGTGGAAAGGGAGATGACAGATGTTAAAGCTGGCTTTAGAAAAGGCCAAGGGACACAAACTATTGCTGATACACCCTGAATAATTGAGGAAGCCCAAGAATAACAAAATAAGCCCATATAGGCTTCAGTGATTATTAAAAAGAACTTTAATGTATGTCAATCATATCTTGCTCTGATATCTCTTTAGGAAGATGGGAATGCCTGGACAACTCATTGTTTCTCATGCGAAACCAGTTCAAGTAATTCTCAACTTACAACAGTTCTTTTAGTGACCGTTGGAAGTTACAATGTCATTGAAAAAAGTGACTTAGGACAGTTTTTCACACAACGGTTGCAGTGTGTCCCCATGGTCATGTGATCAAAACTCAGATGCATGGCAACTGACTCATATTTATGATGATTACAGTGTCTTGGGATCATTTTAGAGTTGGGGTGCTCCCAGTTCGGCCTGGCTCGGCCGATCAGGTAGAGGAATTCAGGCTTGGGTCGCAGAACCGGCAGCGACCCGAGCTTGCCATGCCCCCAAATTGGTTTCCTCGCTGCCGCTGGGCCGCTGCCATTTTGGATTTTAGTGATTGTGCGTGCGCAGTCCACTGTAAATTGTTCTGCGCATGTGCACATTGGACAGTGCACATGTACACAGGGTACATCAGGCGCGGGTGTGAGTGAAGCCTACCACATAACTGATGCATGCAGGTTGTGAACTGGTAGTAAACTGTCAGCAACCCACCCCTTGGTCATTTGGTCACCTTTTGCAACCTTCTGACAAGCAAAGTCAATGGCGAAGCCAGTTTCACTTAATAACCGTGTTACTAACTTCACAACTGCAGTGATTCATTTAACAACGGTGGCAAGAAAGATTGAAAAATGGGGCAAAATTCACTTAACAACTGTCTCACTTAGCAACAGAATTTTGGGCTCAATTGTAGTTGTAAGTCGAGGACTATCTGTACACAAGTTAGGAAGTCATAGTCTGCACAGAACATAGTGAAAAAGACTCTAGGTCAGCAAAAGAATGAGACAAGGCTGTCTATTCTCCCATTATTATTAGAGCCGAGGTGGCGCAGTGGTTAAATGCAGCACTGCAGGCTACTGCTAGATCAGCAGTTCAGCGGTTCAAA